CCCTTCGCTAGTCGGCTCCTTGATCAGCTGTGTCAAGACATCGTTATCCATGTACTCCAGAAAACCGCAGGAGTGCTTGTGACCTGCTCCCTTCAGCACACATCAGGGTGGCCCCATGAGGCCAAGTAAATGTGAATATAGGGCTTCCTCCAGTTGTCTCAGGAAAGCCTTCTCCCTTTGTCTTGATCAGGTGGTCTGTAGCAGATACTTACCACAACATTGCCCACGTTAGTCTGCTCACCAGTATTAGCCCAAGAAGCTCCCAAACGGCTTATCATCTGTTCCTGTGTCGTTTCACACATTGCAGCGGCTGCCTCACATGAACAGCAATGCTCCCTTCCTCACCCTCCTGGCCTGTCATTCCTGAAATGTCTTTCCTGGACAGCCTGTACTTATCTCTTGCTGTACTACAGTGGCATGAGCTGTCTCACGCTTCTCTGTCAGACCAAGGAGACTGTGGCCGTGCAACTGCACAGTAATTCCTCCTGTTTGTTCCTTTGACTGTATGCATTAGCATCCAGGCACTGCAGAAAGATACAGTCATGCTGATTTTCCAGAAACGATAGGAGAGCTTTGCTTGCTAAACTGAGATGCACCCAGTTCTTCCCTTCTGTGCACGTGCTCGAGGTGGAGCGAAGAACACAGCTAGGGTTACAAGACAAAAGGACAGGGGACTTGGCCGACAGACATTTCATGCCAAATCTGCTCTTGGTCTTTTAAGAGAAAACATATAAAAACCTGCAACATCACCCCAAATTTTCAGTATCTCAAAACAAGAGAAAGCCTAGCATGAAAATTAAGAAAAGAACTGGATGAGATTTCTGACAGCATCCCCAGATGAGCAATAACCAAAATGCTCTTGAAGAACAGCTTCAGAAAAAAATAATCCTATGGTCACCCAGTGAACTCTGGGGTAAGACAGAGTTCAACTTAGTTCTGACACTTTCTAAGACAAAGCAGTTGAAAAACGTTGCTCTTTTTGCACAGCACTTAGAGTGTCATTTGTTATCCAAACGTTAACAGAAAAGCATTTTCTCTTTTTTTTCCCTATTTTTCTTTTTTTCCTATTTTTTTCCCCCCATTTTAAAATTTTTATTTTTTTTCCTCCAGTCCTATTCAACATCTTTATTGATGACATGGATGAGCGGATTGAGTCTATCCTTAGTAAGTTTGCAGACGACACGAAGCTAGGGGAGAGCGTCGATGTGCCGGAGGTTAGGAAGGCGCTGCAGAGGGACCTGGCCAGGCTGGGTCCACGGGCTGAGGCCAACGGGCTGAAGTTCAAGCAGACCAAGGGCAGGGTCCTACACTTTGGCCACAGTAACCCCCTGCAGCGCTACTGACTTGGGGAGGAGTAGCTGGGGAGTGGCCCGGCAGAGAGAGACCTGGCAGTGCTGGGTGACACCCGGCTGAACAGGAGCCAGCAGTGTGCCCAGGTGGCCCAGAAGGCCAAGGGCATCCTGGCGTGTGTCAGGAGCAGTGTGGGCAGCAGGAGCA